CCCAGTCTGGCTAATATGAAAATCTCCATTTTGATGAACTAAATCAAAGGCAGGGCCTTTTGGCAAATAAGGCTTTAATGACCTTATGAACAAAGGACCATGTTTTGTCTTTGTTAGGAAGTCTTCAGTTATTTGTGGTCAATCATGGCCAGGAAATATGAAGATACCATAGCAGGGTTTTTTTTATATTTACAACTTTTTGCATCTAATTTAACTTTAAAGATATATTTTAAAATTTAGAAAACCTCTGAGTTAAATGTGAAATTGCACACAATAATGGTAGGATAAGTAGACTTTTGGCTTCTGGGTGTGTATGAGCACAGATGTGCAAGTGTGTATATCTCTTTTGATCAATGTAATTTTATTATGTATGTCTGGTTTTTATGTGGATAACAGTTGGCAATCAAATACTGAAAAAGTAATGCCTTTTCTTATCTAGTTGCTCTGGCTAGGCCTTCTAGTACTCTGCTGAATAAAAATGTTGAAAGTGGACATTCTTGTCTTATTCCAGACCTTGAAGGAAAGGCTTTTTGTTTTTCCCTATTCAGTATGATATTGGCTGTGTGTTTGTTTAATATAACTTTTATCATGTTAAGAAGCATATACCTTCTATACCCAGTTTTTTTGAGAGTTTTTATCTTGATGTGATGTTGAATTTTATTGAATACTTTTTTTGAATCTATAAAAATGATTGTGTGGTTTTTGTCCTTCATTCTGTTGATTTGATATGCCACATTTATTAATTCGTGTATATTAAACCATCTTTGTGTCCTGAGATTTATCCCACTTGATCATGATGAATGATCTTTTAAATGTGTTGTTGAATTTGGTTTAATAATATTTTGTCTAGGATTTTTGCATCTATGTTCATCAGAAATACTGGCCTGTAGTTTTTTTTTTTTTTTTGAGATGGAGTCTCGCTCTGTTGCCCAGGCTAGAGTGTAGTGGCACAATCTCAGCTCACTGCAACCCTCTGCCTGCCGGGTTCAAGCAGTTCTTGGCCTCAGCCTCCTAAGTAGCTAGGATTACAGGCATGTGGCCTGTACTTTTCTTTGTTTGTTATGTCTTTGCTTTTGGTATTAGGGTGATACTAGCCTCATAGAATGGGTTTGGAAGTATTCCCTCCTCCTCGATGTTTTTGAATAGTTTGAGTGCAATTGGCGTTAGTTCTACTTTAAATGTTTGGTAGAATTCAGCAGTGGAATAGGTCTTGGGCTTTTCTTTATTCAGAGACTTTTAATTGCTTCTTCTGTCTTGTTAATGGTCTGTTCAGGTTTTGGATTTCTTCATGGTTCAATCATGGTAGGTTGTTTGTGTCTAGAAATGTACCCATTTCTTCTAAAGAAATACAGAACATCCAAATTGGAAAGCAAGAAGTCAAATATCTATAAATAAACTTAACCAAAGAAGTAAAAGATCTCTACAATGAAAACTATAAAAGTATTGATGAAAGAAATTAAAGAGGACACAAAAAACAAGATATGTTCCATGTTCATATTGATTGGAAGAATCAATATTGTAAAAAAGTTCATAGTACCCAAAGCAATCTACAGATGCAGTGCAATCCCTGTGAAAATGCCAGTGACATTCTTCATAAAAATAGAGAAAACAATCCTAAAATTCATATGAAACTACAAAAGACCAACAATAATGAGTGAAGGCAATCCTGAGCAAAAGGAACAAAGCTGGAGGCATCCCTCCTGACTTCAAATAATATTACAAAGCTATAGTAACCCAAACAGCATGGTACTAGTATAAAAACAGATCAATTCTATTCCAGTGGAACAGAATAGAGAACCAGAAATAAATCCACACATTTATAGTCAACTCCTTTCAGCAAAGGTGCCAAGAACATACAATAGAGAAGGACAGTTCATTAAATGGTACTGGGAAAACTAGATATTCACATTGCAGAAGAATGAAACTAGACCCCTGTCTCTCACCACATACATACATCAAAATTGACTAAAGATTTAAATTTAAGACATCAAACTACTACAAGAAAACGTTGGAGAAACACTCCCTAGGATGTTGGTGTGGGCAAAGATTTATTAAGACCTCAAAGTATAGGCAACCAAAGCAAAAATGGACAAATGAGATCACGTCAAGCTAAAAAGTTTCTGTACAATGGAAACAGTCAATAAAATGAAGAACCCAAAGAATAGGAGAAGATATGTGCAAACTACCCATCTGATAAAGGAGTAATAACCAGATTATAAGTCAGTCAAACAACTCTATAGGAAAAAAGTAAGTAATCTGATTTAAAAGTGGGCAAATGATCTAAATAGACATTACTCAAAAGAAGACATAAAAATGGCCAACAAGTATGTGGAAAAATGCTCAACATGACTAGGTATCAGACAAATACAAATTAAAACTTCAGTGAGAAATTATCTCACCCCCATTAAAATGACTTTTATTTAAAAGACAGACAATAACAGGCAAAAAACAAGAATGCTGGCAAGGATGTAGAGAAAGAGGAACACTTGTATTATTGTTGATAGAAATTTAAATATTATTTTAGTTTAGTTTAATTAGTTTAGTTTTGTTCTTTATTTTAGCTTAGTTTATTTAGTTTAGTTGTTGTATTGTATTTTGAGACGGTGGGTTTCACTCTGTTTCCCAAGCTGGAGTACAGTGGCGCAGTCATGGCTCACTGCAGCCTTGACCTCCTGGGCTCAAGCAGTCCTCCCACCTCCGCCTCCCAAGTAGCTGGGACTATAGGTACATGCCACCATGCCCAGCTAACTTTTTACCTTTATCTTTTAAAAAATTTTTTGTGGAGATGGGGTCTCCCTATGTTGCTTACACAGGTCTCAGACTCCTGGGCTCAAGTGACCCACCTGCCATGGCTTCCCAAAGTGCTAAGATTATAGGCGTGAGCCACCACATGCAGGGAGAACAGTATGGACGTTTCTTTAAAAAAACAACCAAAAATAAAACACCTAAAAAACCACCATATGATCCAGTAATCCCACTACTGGATATATATCAAAAGGAAGATAAATCAATATATCAAAAAGATATCTGCATTTTCATGTTTATTGCAACACTATTCACGAAAAGCCAGGAGATGGAATATACCTAAGCGTCCATCAGTGAATGAATGGATAAGAAAAATGTGGTACATATACACACTGGAATATTATTCCACCATAAAAAGGATGAGATTCTGTCGTTTGCAACAACGTGGATGAAACTGGAGGACATTATGTTTGGTGAAATAAGCCAGTCACAGAAAGAAAAAGATTGCATGTTCTCACTAATATGTGGAAGCTAACAAAAAAATGGAACTTGAGATAGAGAGTAGAATAATGGTTCTTATAGACTGAGAAAGGTAGTTGGGGGTTGCATGGGGATAATAAAGAGGAGATAGTTAAAGGGTACAAAAATACAGTTAAACAAGAATAAGATGTAGTGTTAGGCAGCACAATAGGGTGACTGTAGTTAACAATAATTTATTGTATATTTCAAAATAACTAAAAGAGTGGAATTGGAATGTTCCTAACAGAAGGAAATGATTGATGTTTGAGGTGATGGATACCCCAGTTACCCTGATTTGATTATTATACATTGTGTGCTTTTATCAAAAAATCACGTGTACTTCATAAAAATGTACAACTATTATGTATCCATAATTTAAAATTTTTAAAATAAAAAATTCGACAGCAGGCCAGATGTGGTGGCTCACTCCTGCTGGGAGGCTGAGGTGGGTGGGTCCATTGAGGCCAAGAGTTTGAGACCAGCCTGGCCAACACAGCGAAATCCCATCTCTACTAAAAATACAAAAACTATCCAGGCATGGTGGTATGTACCTGTAATCCCAGCTACTGGGGAGGCTGAGGCATGAGAACCACTTGAACCCGGGAGGTACAGTTCACAGTGTGCTGCAGTAGCACCACTGCACCCCAGCCTGGGCAACAGAGCAAGACTGTGTCAAAAAATATAGTAATGCTAAAGGTTTCTAAATTTGACACTTTAAAAAATAGGCTCCCTTAATAGATAGTGACGGTAGTGGTCACACAACATTGTGAATGCACTTAATGCCACTGAATTGCATACTTTAAAATGGTTAAAATAGTAAATTTTGTTAATGTGTATTTTACCACAATTAAAAAAAAGACTCACTGGAGATTAAGCTAAAAGACAAATAAATAAATAAATAAAATAGAAAGATTCCCTTAAAACTTTACAATTGATGTACTTATAGATTACATTTCTCCATTGTGCTTATAACAATCTATAATGTCATTTTTCAGACGGCTTTTTGTTGGCATGTTTATGTACAAGATATGTTTAATGCCACTAAAATGTCAGAATATAGTAATATAATGAAACATTACATATGTTTTATTTTTTAGAAAGCTTTTGTTTGAATCATGTAGTTTAGGTAGCTTTTTTGTTTTTGTTGTTGCACTTTCACCTTTTTTTGTCAATAATGAAAATTCATTTTATTTCAGCTGAAGAAAATTCGATCACTGCTTGTTGCTGGAGCTGCACAGTATGATTGCTTTTTTCAACATTTACGCTTGTTGGACGGAGCACTTAAACTTTCAGCTAAGGATCTGAGATCCCAGGTGGTTAGAGAAGCTTGCATTACTGTAGCGTAAGTATCATAAAAGGGTAAGTGTTTTTTATGAATGAATTTAGTACTCACTGATTCAGTGCTCATTAAGTCAAGTAGTAGCAAGATAGCCAAAAAAGTATATGATCCCCAAATCATTTTTATTATACGTAAGGATTCAGTTGGTATGATTTTTTTTTAAATTCCTTAACAGCTCTTTATATCAACAATTTAAGGTTGGTATAAAGATATTTAAAGTGTCTAAAGCCTACTGGTAGATTTTTTATCATTAACTCTACAAGTATAAGGTGAAAATGAATGAGCCTGGAAAGTGGCTATATTGTCACTACTAGTTTGGATGTTAAACAATTTCTGGTATTTTAGCAACTATCCTGGCATTACAACATGCATCGTTAACTTAGCAAAATCTAAACTTTAAGTTTGTAGTCTTCTACAATACAAAGATGGTAGAACTTAAATTCTGTTTATTACTATTTCTGATCTAAGCAGTGTTGTTGCATATTCATTCCTTTGAAGATAGGGAACACAACAGTGCCTACTACCAATATTTCTAATCAGGATTATATTAGATATTCTAGTCAGAAATGAAAAAAAGACAATATAAGGATTGCAAGAAAAGGAACAGAACTGCCATTATTAGCAGACAATATAACTATCTGCAGAAAACTGCAAGAGAATCTACAGATAAATTATTGTAATAAAGGGACTTTGGCACAGTTGCAAGATACAAGTCTTAGTATATTAAAATGATCCAGTATCTCTAACTAACAAAGAAAACCTACTATCCATACACTTACAATATGACTAGCTCTCTTGCAGAAGACTGGACAATATATGTAAAACATCTGTTTCTAGATACTAGACAGCAGACAGGGCAGGAATGGAATTCTTAAAAGATACAAATAATGTTGAACAGTGTAAGTTTTGACCTGGAGGCACTATGGGGAAGGAAGGGGGAACCTAAGCAAAGCAAGGCAATCTCACCGAGGTGAGGAAACAAATATTACAGTTTCAGAGGCTGACGTGGTCAAAATTGTCAGTGCAGAATACTGGAGAGAAGAGGGGAGATTCACATACACACAAACACAAAGAGCTGCAGAGATCTGTATATGGGAACCCATAAGTCTAGATTGCACACTAACCTGTCCATATGAAAGGTACGACTCCCTGAGGAAGGAAAGGAACTAATGCTTGGGAGCTGTAGGATAAACAGTTCCCAGAGCTCATAGGAGAGGTTTAAGATCTGACCAACCAGAATGGAAAAACCTTGGTGATCACCCAAGGCAGTCAGTAGAAACCCCAGAAAGGCCATTGCATAGGAATAGTACTAAACCAGCTATAAAGTAAGGCAACTCTAGACTCTGCCTCTCCCAACAAGCTTGTAAAGATCAAGCTGATTCCCAAGTACATTACCTGCCTACCAGAGTAAAACTCATGCCCTTTAAAGGAAGACAACATCCAAACATCCACACCTCCTTGCTTTTCATTTGAGGTTCCTTTTTGCCTGTGAGTTCAGACATTGGAAAACTAACATAATAGCACTAGAAAATAGGTCTGAATCTGACCTCTTTGAATCAAGAACCTGAATTATTGAAGCTAACTCTATCCCAGCCATGTATTTTCAATAACTTATATAGAAATTAACCAGTATTGCAAGCATTGTCAGCACTTTGAGTGATTACAATATCCTTCCTAAGTGTTTTAACTAAAATCATACAATTAAAGGCTAATTTAGTTGTTAAACTACACAATTGGAAAGAGAAGTCAGATGTCCTAAAGATTACCCAACTAAAATACGGTAGAGTTGTATTTTTGACTGCAGATTTGGAAATCCTACTCTAAAGAAGTTAGGGAGTATTTATGACTAAAAAGGGGTGATACTGTTAATAGAAATGGAGAACATTTTGAGGAGCATTGATTTAAGATTTTGAATTTGTTTGTAAAAATATGTTGAATTTGGGATTGATAATGGATCATCAAAATGGAAATATCTCATGGATAAAGACCAAAAGTCAGAACCATCAGAGCTGATTATTTCATCTCATGTGCCCTTAGAGTTAATAAATTCTGAAATCAAATGGCTTCTTCAAGTGCTATTGCAAACAGATGAGAAAATGCCAGACTTCAACTTTGGACTAGCCAGTTAAAAGATAGGGGAAAAAGGGAATATGTAGTATCTAGGTTTCCCTTTCTCTCGTCTGTTTTACTGCAATTACAACTGATTGAAATAAAAATTCCTAAGCTAATTCAGTAAAATCATATTTAAAATTATATGGTTCTATCTGTACTTAATGTTAAACTATTAAAAAATACTTTTCATCTTCCTTTGTAGCCACCTTTCAACAGTTTTGGGAAACAAATTTGATCATGGCGCTGAAGCCATTGTACCTACACTTTTTAATCTGGTCCCCAATAGTGCAAAAGTCATGGCAACTTCTGGATGTGCAGCAATCAGATTTATCATTCGGGTAGGTTTACTCTCTCCTTTTCCACTGCTGCCTTCTCCCCACTTCCCCCACCCACTTTTTCTTTCTTCTTCCTCCTTTTTCTCTCCTTTCCCCACCCCACCCCATCCCCGTCTCTCAATGCACCTAAATAAGTCATTGGATTTCTTTTTGAACCCCAAAGGCAAATTATTTTTGAATCATTCTGCTGAAAGTAAAAGCCATAGATGGTCATTATAGAACCAGAGCATTGCAAAGTAACATGTTTGTATATGGAATATAATATATACATGCATGTACGTATGAGTACATATATGTGTATATAGTTACATGTGTGTATAGTCACAAATATTACAGAAAATAATAAAAGGCAAATTTTTTATAGTCATGTGCCACCTCAGAAAGTTTCAGTCATTGATGGGTTGCGTATACAACAGTGGTCCTGTAAGATTATACTGTATTTTTACTGTAGCTTTACTACTTTTGGATATGTTCAGAAATACAATACTTAACATTGTGTTACTCTTACCTAGAGTATTCCGTACAGCTATATGCTGTACAGGTTTGTAGCTTAGGAGCAATAGGGTATAACATACAGCCTAGGTGTAGAGTAGGCTATACCAATATAGGTTTATTCAAGTACATTCTATGATGCTCATACTATGATGAAATTGCCTAATGGATTTCTCAGAGTGTATCCTCATCATTAATTGAGGCATGACTGTATTTCTCTTCGTATCTTGAGGATGCCTGAAAGAACAGATTTGAAAAAGCAAATCTCTCCCCTTCAATTCTATTCCTTTGTTACTAATCACTCTAGCCATTTAATGTGTACTTTTCTAAACTTCTATTCTGTGCCTATATAAATGTATTTGCTATACATATAGAAAATGTAAATATATATATAATATATTCTTTAACTTTATTTATTTATTTATTTATTTATTTATTTATTTTGAGATGGTGTCGTATCTTTCAGTCAGACAGGAGTGCAGTGGAGTAAACTCAGTGCACTGCAACCCTGCCTCCCAGGTTCTAGCACTTTTCCCGCCTCAGCCTGCTGAGTAGCTGGGACTAGAGGCATCCACCACAATGCCCAGCAAATTTTTTGTATTTTCAGTAGAGACAAGATTTCACCATGTTGGCCCGGGCTGGTCTCGAATTCCTGGCCTCAAGTGATCCGCCTGCCTCAGCCTCCTAAAGTGCTGGGATTACAGGTGTGAGCCATCGCGTCCAGCCTAGCTTCTTTTTTAAACTTCACGTGCTTGGGCAGCTCTCCTTATCCATATTTGTAATTCTTTTTAATGTCTAAATTAGTTTTCTTTTAAGGATGTAGCATCAAATTATCCTCACCAGGCCAGGTGCAGTGGTTCACGCCTGTAATCCCAGCACTTTGGGAGGCCAAAGCAGACGGATCATCTGAGGTCGGGAATTCGAGATCAGCCTAACCAACATGGAGAAACCCTGTCTCTACTAAAAATACATATTTAGCCAGGTGTGGTGACACATGCCTCTAATCAGTCCCCTGCTACTCGGGAGACTGAGGCAGGAGAATCGCTTGAACCGGGGAGGTGGAGGTTGCTGTGAGCCAAGATTGTACCATTGCGCTCCAGCCTGGGCAACAAGAGTGAAACTCTGTCTCAAAAAACAAAAATTATCCATTATTCTCACTAGTCTCATTCCTGCAGTCTTCTTCCTGTAGTCCTTTTTCTCCATCCCTTTGCCAATATTATCTTTTATCAGTATCTTTAAGGTTTTATGATTTAATAAGCATTATTTCATATTTTACTTTGCATTTCCTGCATTATTAGGGATGTTAGCTATTTTTTTCCTTCTATAATTCTATGGGTTGTCAGTGTATACTCTGTACATTTTTTCTCACTTGTTTCTAAGATCTTTTTATATATCATAAGGATATTAATTCTGTGTTGTATGTGTTGTGGTATTTTCTACAGTCTGACATTTCTTCAAGTAATATATAAGCTCTTTTGTTATATTTCAGAATTTTACATTTTTGTGTATTGAGACTTGTTCATTTTGTGGGTTTTATTATAGTTAAAACATTACCTTTCCCATTTCACAGTAACACAAAAATATTCAATCATTTAGAACTTCTGTGATTTTTTTTTCTTAGGTTTAGATCTAACTGGATTTTATTTTCGTGTGAAACGCAATTTCTAACGTGATATTTCCCCCAATACAAAACCAATTGACCCAGTAGCATGTGGTGAATTACAATGTAGCCTTTTCTTGAAATGCTGCCATTTTCATGTAATACATTTCCATAAATATGTTAAGTCTGTTTCTTAAATGTATTTCAGTTTCTTTGATCAGTTTCTCCTTTCCTGTTAAAAAAATTAAGTTTATTCCTAATACTGCCTTACCAGGAAATGTTCTTTTTCACCAATAAAATTAAAAGTGCTTACTTAAAGTCTTCAAAAATGATCCTTTTTTCCCTCGTTTTAGCTTGCTTGCTTGCTTTCTCTCCTCTCCCCTCCCCTCCCCTCCTCTCCCCTCCTCTTCCCTCCCCCCTCCCGCCTCCCCCTCTCTTCTTTTCTTTTCCTTCTTTTTCTAAAGATTGTAGACAACCTTAATTCAGAACTTTTGTAACAACGTTAGGAAGTATAGTGGGAATTATTGAAATGATTGTTTTATCCCTGAGTTGGGTGGCATCATATTTAACTTTAAATATGATTTTTTAAATGGGTTTCTATGAGTATAGTATATTAGATTTTGGAAATTTTCTACTATTCACATTTTGCTAAATCTTGATTGGAAATAAATATTGAATTTTATCAGGTAACCCTTTAATATCTTTATAAATGACTCTTGTTGCCGGGCGCAGTGGCTCACGTCTGTAACCCCAGCACCTTGGGAGGCTGAGGCGGGCGGATCACCTGAGGTCAGAAGTTTGAGACCAGCCTGACCAATATGGTGAAACCCCATCTTTAAAAAAAATAATAAAAAAATAAAAATATATGAATGACTATTGTTGTTTTTTCATTATCCATTATACATTCAGGAACTAAATTCTGCTTGGCCGTTGTGCATTAAGATACTGCTAGATTCAGTTGGTTAATACTTAGTAAGATTTTGGCATTCATTTAAATGAATAAGTATTCTGTGAATTTTTTTCCAGTTTTACATATTTTGTTAATATATTGTTATGCTGTTAGAGTTTAATGGCCTTTAAGATTATCTAGTAACATTTCCAACATTTTAGACTCTGGGCATCTTGAATCTTTAGTTCGAAATGTTGGCATTCCTCTCGCCTCAGCCTCCCAAGTAGCTGGGATTACAAGTGTGAGCTACTGTATCCAGCTGACTTTTTCTAATTAGAATGTTATACATTCTTTTATATATACTTGGCAGAAGCATTATTTTGGGTTCTTTATAAACTTCAACTTATAATTTTATTGACTCTAGTAAGATTATTTAATTTTTCTGATTTTTTAGTTTCGCTATATTTTTTTTCAACTTTTGGCTCATTTTATCTTTTTAGATTTTTGTGGAATATCTTTAGACAGTTTGCATTGCTTTTTCTGTATTGTTTAAGGCTTTGGGTTTTCTTCTGAGTTTGACTTTGGCAGCATCTCAATGATTTAAATTTACCACATTCTCTTTAATTTGTGTTTTCAATCATTTGTAATTTCCATTTCAACTTTGAATTGTATAATAATATTGTTTTCATTTTTAGATGGTGCTTTTGTTCTTATTGTCATTATTTTCTAATTTCATGACATTCTGATCAGGGAATTTGGTTGTATGATTTATTTTTTGGTGAATGCCTTGAATTTTTGTGTTCTAGTATGTCATCAGTTTATATAGGTAGTCTATTAGCATTTACAAATATAGAATTCTTTGGTAGAGAATTGAGTACTTTGCCCATCACTGAATCTAGCTTATGTTTTATTTATATTATTCAAGTTTTTTATGGTCTCATTAAAAAAAACTTTATGTGACAAATTCTGATTCTTGTCAATTTCATTTTTCTAACAGTTCTTGATATATGTACTTTATGTATGGTCAACGTTTTTTACTATTATCATCTTGAAATAGTATTTTTTTCTATCTTATAATTTTTTTTCTGTTCATTGTGCTTTTTTTCTTTCTTTCTTTTTTTTTTTTTTGTGATTTAGAAGTTCCTTATTGTCAAGAATAAAATCTTTATGTTCCTTTTAAAAAGTATACATATACATTTTATTTCATTGATGTCATTTTGTCCCTTACCCATTGAATTAAATTTAACAAAGATATTTTTATTTTTAGCAATTGTAATTAACTGTTTTTTTTTTTACTGCTTTTATTTCTGACCCATTGTTTATTGGTATACTCTCACTTCCTTTTTAAAAATTGATTCTGGGTCATTCTTGTTTTGCTTTAGTGTTTTCTCACTTTTCAATATATATGTGTTTATCTTTTGAATTGACTCTTCCTTGCCAGTTCAAAATATGTGAACTGAAAATTTGACTGTTGAACTTCAGGTTCACTTTCCTTTTCTTTCACAATTGCTTTTTGTTGGTGGTGGTGTTGAGATGCAGTCTCGCACTGTCATGCAGGCTGGAATTCAGTGACGCCATTTCCTCTCACTGCAATCTCTGCCTCCCAGGTTCAAGCTGTTCTTCTGCCTCAGCCTCTCAAGTAGCTGGGATTTCAGGCACCTGTCACCACGCCTGGCTACTTTTTGTATTTTGAGTAGAGGTGAGGTTTCACTATGTTGGTCAGGTTGGTCTTGAACTTCTGACCTCCTGGCTCATGCCGCACGCCTTTAATCCCAGCACTTTGGGAAGGTGAGGCAGTCCTCCTGCTTCAGCCTTCCAAAGTGCTGGGATTATAGGCATGAGCCATCACATCTGACCTGTTTTCTTAACTTTTTTTTGTTGTCTCTAAAAATGAGACTATTTGATTATTTTATAGCAAAACCACCACCACCACCACCACCACCAGCCAACCTTTAGGAAGTTTTATAAGTAGTCCCGTTGTGTGAAGAGTTTCCTCACAGCAGGTCTAGGAGTTAATTGTCTTTTACTAATACTATTCTTAAACAGTAGACAAGGATTTTTGACTGAAATGGGTGTATCTTAAATTTATGTTAGTTTTTATGAATCTTTTCTTTATTTAGTACTTCTGTCTTATTTGCTCAGATCTTTTCCTGTTCTTACTTTTGTTACACAAATTCTGAAATCCTCGATGTCATTTATCATTTTTTGAATAACTTTTTGTCTCTTTGTCTTACATCTGTGTGTATTCTCAGGAAAAATTCCTTTAAATTCTACTTGTTTGAAAGTACCCATTTTGTGATTCTCAGGCTTTACTCTTTATGCTTTGTTTTCAAATTGCTCATTTTTCACAAACTTTTTTATGTTATTATACTAGCCTGTCATCGCACCAATAATACAATGAGTTTTAAATGTTACCTACAGTTTTTCTTTGTTTTATTTCCTAAGGGTCTGCTTCCTTAGATTGCTCTACTTAATTTCTAATTCTCTATTTAATTTTTTCCCCTTTGTCAACTTGTATTAATAAAGTGTAAATCTTTCTTAGTGTTTGATTAAATGCTTTTTCAGTAATTGAGGTAATTTTTTACTTTCCTTTGGTACAGTTCCCCCTGAATATGATGTAGCAATCGTTAGGTCAGTTTATCTCCCCGTCCTTGCCACTGTCGTAGATGTGGTTAACCCAGCATTAGGATTTTTGGGAGGTTAGAAAAGAAAGAGGAGGAGTATGGTAAGTAAGACCTCCTTTATAGCTGTGTCTAGGGGATCTCCATGGGCTTTACCTCCACAGTAATGTTTGGGAAATGGGCTCTTGTGGATACCGTTGGGAGCAGGTCCACAGAGTCCTTCCATGCTGAATTGAACAGTTGACTAACAGGCATGTCAGCACACTTTCTTGCATTATTCTCATCTTCAACAGCTTCAAGTCTGTAAATGGTTTCTCTCTGTAGTAGCTGAAAAAAGCTTTTTCCTTTTATTTTGGTTGAGGTAGCTGTGGCAAACACTGTTGTGCCATATCCTTCAATGAAAAACTTACTTCTCCAATGACAGGAGAACTGTTAGTAGATAGCCTTTAGCTGCCAGTCTCTTAAAGGATTATTTCAGCTAGAGAGCTGCCTTTCCCAAGGGCTTGCCCTTCCCAGTATTACCCATAGCCAATGGCTGATGGATGTGGAAGTGTAAAGGTTTGGCCATGTAGGACCAATTCAAGAGGGTTCCGTGGGAGCATTTCAGTTCTAGAGCTTTCTAATGGCTTTGGGCAAAGATAGCCTTGGGTTGCATCAAAGTTCCATTTCTTCCTCTGCTCACTCCACTCCTACTTCCTTCTTCTCACTTCCACAGGTGCTAATGCCAAGGGCACTTACAAAAAATTAATATATAATAGATGTACATATTTTGGGAGTACATGTGATATTTTAATGCATTCATATGTTTAAAGGTCAAATTAGGGTAATTAGGAATTCATTACCTTAAATACTTTTCTTTATACTAGGAACATTCTGATTATTCTCTTTTAGCTATTTTGAATGTACAATAGATTGTTGTTAACCATAGTCACCCTACTGATCTATTGAACACTATATCTTATTTGTTCTAACTCTATACCTGTTAACCTCTTTTCATCCCCCACTCCCCACTGCTCCTTCTAGCCTCTGATCATGACTAGCCTACTTTCTATCTTCATGAGGTCCACCTTTGTTTATCTCCCCAATGAGTGAGAACATGTGATATTTGTCTTTCAAGGGCATTTCCTAACAAATATCCTGCATGCTAAACTCCATCTCATAGCCTGCTTCCTAGAAAACCCAGCCTGTACCATTAGCTCAGAAGGAATACAGGAAATTTAAGGAATTAAATATATGCTTATGTTAATGTCTATTATAAACTTTTTAGTGTTTGTTTCACTAAAGAAGAGCATAATAATTACTAATAGAAATCAGAAGATTATGTGTATTGAACTTCTACTTGAATTCTAGAGAGAGATGATTCAGCCAGAATAAAGTGAAAGTTCTATTAAAATCACCATTTCATAGTCCATTCCCAGAAGTTAGGGATATAGATTCACTTAACTACCTGCTTTGATGACATTGTAATTACAATTTTTTACCAGCAATAGCCATGATACTTCAGAAAATTTGGCTGCCTTAGTACTCCCTCTCCCCCAAAACTATATTGTCCAACACTTCTTTGAAGTTACACAGTTAACTTTTCTTTGTTATGTAATATTACATCCACACCTGTCCTTTTGAAACTGTATCATCATTACTGTTACTTTAATTCGGGAAAACTTTTCAAGACTGATCTTGATTTCTTTCTTTTCTGGTCTTTTTGTCTTCTTGCAACATAACTAAATACTTGAATGTAAGGCAAATAGAAGAAAGGACTGCGTGAAGTGCGTAGTATTTTCAACCTTTTCTAAAACATCTTTTTCAGCATACTCATGTACCCAGACTTATACCTTTAATAACAAGCAATTGCACATCAAAATCAGTTCCTGTGAGGAGGTAAGTTTAAATTTTTTAATTATTATTATTATTATTATTATTATTTTGATGTAGCTCTGATACTGCATTGTTTAATTCTTGGTCTGTTGCAAGAATTGGTCATTAATTTCTTGCCTTCCAGAAAATCATTAAAAAGTGGTTTTTTAAAAAATCATATTTCATGTAAGGGAGAAGGGATGAAGTGATTATTACGAGCACCCACTTTTCTCAGTTTTATCTTATTAAGCTTTGGTTTATTTGGGCTGCTGGTTGCCTTGGTTTTCAGAGAACAAGGAGTAAAGAGTCAGGTCTGGGCTAGAGTCCTTCCACTGCCACTGACAATTCTACCTTAGGCAATTATTTAACTGCTGTGAATCTTAGTCCCTGCATAGGTTAGTAGAGCTAATAATGTCAACCCCGTAGAACATAAGGATTAAATGAGATACACATTAGTAGAATATAACCTGGTGTTTGGAACAAAGTAAATAGCCCTATCAGGTCTTTCAATTAGTGTCTATCTCTGTCTCTGTGTCTCTCTCCTGTTTCTACAATTTTTCACATCATACCTGTCAACCTAAATATCAGAGACGCCCTTTGAAAGAAAATGATATTAGTATTTATGGAGGAATGAGCATCGCACTGCTAATATGCGTAAAACAGTAAACTATGTGCATATTCAGGGAGATAAAGAAAAACAAAGGTTTTTAAAGGAAAGATGAGGAGTCTTACATAATTGTTTTGAGATACTTATCCTGGGTTACAAGGATCAGTAAGAAGGGTGAAGCCAAGTTGCGGTTGGACAGGCAATTGCTGGGTAGATGTCCTTGCAAAAGTTTTTTTTTTTTTTTTTTTTTTTAGGATGGTTATAACCTTTGTGGAAGGTTGTGTTTTTTTGGAGTCTTTGGTGATAGCTGTTGTTATCAGTCATTTATGTATGAGAGCGCTCCCTTACTGGCCTTCCTCAGCTCTGTTTGTCTGTCTGTGTCTGTGTGTCTGTGTGTGTGTGTGTGTGTGTGTTTTAACACAAGTGACTTCATTTTGATTCTGACAACTTTCCACACCACTGTAACCAACAATAAGAAAGACAGGAGAAACAAGATTTGTATACTTGATGTTTATAAAGAATTCTACCTTTTTAAATTAGATAAATATATTAAATACTTTGTTAGGAAGAAGCGGAATAAAACATTGTTATTTTAAGTGGTTCAGAGTTTTGATAATAGTTGTTCAGTCATATATCTTGTGTCAGGGGTCAGCAAACAATAGCTTGCAGGTAAAATGTGGCCAACAGTCTGGTTTTGTACAGCCTACATACTAAGGGTGTTTTTTGCATTTTTAAAGCGTGGTTAAAAAAATGCCGGGTTGTGGGGGGAAGAATATGAGACAGAAACTGTATGTGGTCCACAAAGCTTAAAATATTTACTATCCAACCCTTTACAGAACAGGTTAACCAACCCCTGTCTTAAATTGAGGAAAATAGTAATTGGAGAAATAAGAATGTGACAGAAGACAAAATCAGAAAACATATTATAGAATTGCCTTAAAAATGGGGAGCAATCCTTTAACTATAGGGAGAGTGAGTGGAGTACAACCTAAGCAGAAATATAAAGCTATGCCATATGTTGCAGAGCCATCAGATAGTCCTCTGAGGCTAGAACATATGATAAGTGGAAGGCTTCAATGGGAAAAGAGGCTGGTTGAGGGCTGGAGAGTAGCTGAGGTCATAGTGTGGAGGGCTTTGAATGTTTTGAGGAGGAATTTTGACATTATTTCATAGATAGTAGGCATCTTTGACAGTTGTGGATTTTTAATGAGGAGGTGATGTCCAAGCCTAGTTTTTACTCCAGCTATGAAAGTGATTGAAAAGAAACAATGAAAAGCATTGTTTAATTAGGTAGGAGCTGTTATAATTCATAGAAAAGAGAGGCAGAGTCTGGACTAAAACTGTGTTGAACTGTGTTGATAATTGATTGAAGGTGGTTTTATTTAATTAACAAATTCAAAAATATTTCATGTGTAGAAATGGACTTGATAATTGGATATAGATGAGGAGGGTGGTGTCAAGTGCTTCATACTGTGAGCTCTGGAGTCAGAATGCTAGGGTTTAAGTCCTAGCTCTATCGCTTTGAGCAAGTTAATTTAACCTCTCCATTTCTCATTTCCTAATCTGTAATTCATGAGCTATAAGAGAAGATTTGAAAGGGTAGGAATTAATTCATTGTTTTCTATGTAGTGTTTGAGTTGACATTCACTGCCTATGTGGAGATATCCATAAACTAGTTTGAACTTTGATTTAACTGCTGAAGTGACAGACCAATGCTGGAGATGTAGGACTGGATGTGATAATTATTATCTCATAGGCAGAACTAAGGGTACAGATGATGTTGCCCCAGTAGAAAGACCTTAAAAAGATAAGTGGGCTAATATTGGCACCAACCAGGTGAGCATCTGTTTAAAGGAAAGTGGAGGAAAAAATGTTAATAAAAGAAGAAATACAGAACAGAGCTCTGTCATCAAATACCAAGGAAGGAGAGGAGCTCAAGTATGAGACAGCTGAAGAAACTGAGAAATAGAGGACTTAGGAGAAAATGTACACAAACTTTATGTAAAGTCATATATATACATATTTAAGGAAACAGTATAAAAATGAAAGATCCAGATTGCTGTGCCTTTCTTAATCACCACTGTATATCTTCAATGTCAAGTGTATAGATATTTAATAAATATTTTTAAATTAATAAGTGAAACTTGTTACATTTTTCTTATTTTTTTGAGACAGGTTCTCACTCTGTTCCCTAGGCATTATCTTGGCTCACTGCAACCTCCATCTCCCGGTTTTAAGCAATTCTCCCACCTCAACCTCCCGAGTAGCTGGGAGTACAGGCGCATGCCACACGCTCAGCTAATTTTTGTATTTTTAATAGAGACAGGGTTTCACCATGTTGGCCAGGGTGGTCTCGAACTCCTGGCCCCAAGTGGTCCACCCGCCTCAGCCTTCCAAAGTGCTGAGATTACAGATGTGAACCATCGTGCCCAGCCTTAAGTTTTATATTTGACAAACATTTTAAGTTAAAATTATGAGGAACTCTTAAAACCTTTTGAGCTGTTTAGCATAGCAATAATTGCATCTACTTGGGAGGCTGGGGCATGAGAATTGATTGAACCCGGCGGGAGGCAGAGGTTGTGGTGAGCTGAGATGGCACTTTGTACTTTAGCCTGGTCAACAAGAGCGAAACTCCGTCTGAAAAAAAAAAAAAAAAACAAGATATCTAAAAATCCTGTCTTATGCTTAAATTTGGGGGGCAATGTGTAGTAGTATAAAAGAAAGAAAAGTGTTAATGTATTCCTCAATACAACATTTAGTTATCATTTAACTTTTATTTTTCAGACGTTCATTTGAATTTTTAGATTTATTGTTACAGGAGTGGCAGACTCATTCATTGGAAAGGTATGCGTTGCCTGTTCCTTCCTCCAGCTTCCCTCCCCATTGTCACTAGTTCTTTAAAAGTTGATGGTATTGGTTTTACATTACTTCTCATTTTGCTTCAAAGGTTATTTGTACCGGTTTTCCTTTAAAGCTGTGGTGATATTGTACCCCTCTTAATCATAAGAGCTATGAATTGTATGTTTTTCTTTGTGGAATGGATGAGGGTTTCTCAAATAGAATGGATTATATAGGATACTCCAAGTTGAGTTGGGCAAAAGTTTAAAAATGTATCTCTAGTCATATAAGTTTCCTGAGGTGCAGTCAATCATGTAATGAATGATTTAAGATGGGAGGAGCTTCCTTTCAGAGGAAAGAGATTTTTAAAAGATATTTTTGGGGAAGTTTCTCCACACCAGCTGTTAGATGTCATTGGTCAGGTATGTACTGGGCAATGTCTAATGTAACTCTGAGATGAAGGAGAGGAAAATGTGGGCAACTGATTGGTTACTGGCTATTTGCATGGCTGTATTTCTCATTAGTTTCAAGTTTGAAGCTTGGGAGATACAGCGCTAATTCTGCATTTTCTTGAAAATTCTTCACTTCTTAAAGCTCGTTTTTAAAAATTGAATTTGTTATTTAATGTAGGCATAATAAAATTTCAAGTTTTTTTGTGACAGCTATTATTCAAATTTGGTCAGATCGCAACTGATCACACTTAGCAAATAATTTCTACAATAGTGGATTAGTGAGGAACCACACAGAAGATTCCTTTTTCTATAATTTATTAAAAGTTAAAAATTTAGGTACTATATACACTATCTGAATTCCATATAAAATAATTACTTTTTGATTTATAGTGATTGGATTGTTAGAAGGAAACCATACATGAATAAAACATATGGGCCAGATAATTAGAAAATCTTATGGTCTTAGGTTTATTATTGTGTACTAATTAATTTATTTTTATTTACCTCACCTACCCTCTTTGTGATTAATATGTAGCATATAGGCAGTAAGTATCATTTGTGGTGAAACATGCAGCTTTATCATAACTCTAAAGATGTATTTGTTTTATAGACATGCAGCCGTCTTGGTTGAAACTATTAAAAAGGGAATTCATGATGCTGATGCTGAAGCCAGAGTGGAGGCAAGAAAGTAAGTCGGTGTAGTATATTTTTGTGACAGTTTAATCTTTTTTTCTTTTTTTTTAAACAAAATGTATTGGGAGAATGAAAATATCAGAAGTGTCTAAGTGAGTATTTTCCTTGACTAGCTCTCCAGTAAAATTAAGATTGTTTTTTCTCCATTAAATCTGTACTAGACATCTAATAGCCTGCTACATATTGCCACTGATATGTAATCATTAGTATTCTTTTTTTAATCATAACCTGTTCACTCTCATCATGAATAAAAAGAAATATCATTTATCAGGTTTGTATTTTGTACCTGATATTGTATGAGGTACTTGTTGTATATTATTTTCTAATCCTTAGAATGATCCTCCAAAGATAGTGTTATCTCCATAGATGGCAACTGAAATTTAGACACTTAAGGGTTTACCCAAGGCCACACAAACCCTAAGTGGCACAACAGGTTTTGAACCAAGATCTGCTTTTCTCAAAAGCCTTCAGTCTTTCCATGGGAACTTGTTAAATTTAGAAAGTGTTCACCTGACACAGAGCAGACAATGTTGAAAACCAGTGGGCTTATCTTCATCCTTCTTGAATGTACACATTTTACTGTTAATGTCTAAATATGTAAAGCTATTATTTCATCTGCTTTTCTTTTTTTTTTTTTAACAGGACATATATGGGTCTTAGAAACCACTTTCCTGGTGAAGCTGAAACATTATATAATTCCCTTGAGCCATCTTATCAGAAGAGTCTTCAAACTTACTTAAAGAGTTCTGGCAGTGTAGCATCTCTTCCACAATCAGACAGGTCCTCATCTAGCTCACAGGAAAGTCTTAAGTAAGATCATATAAATGATGATTACTAGTCTCTTCCTCTCCTCAACTCCCTAAACTTTCTTAATTTGGATACTTGAATATCTGTCTGTTTGCTTTCACGTAAAGCCTTGAAAGAATGGTAACTCAAATATGCTTATTGATTTTGGTCTGTTGTTTCAAGGGTTGGATTACTTGCCAGCATAACTCCTTCTCTTTGGGTAAAGAATTCTAGATTCACATTTGCTTCTATATATTCATGTCTGTGAAAGCTTGGAAAGCACTACATTTTTTTTTAATACCGCAAAAATAGTACTTAACAATAAATAGCCCATTTAATGAAGGAATTATAATGGAGATTGAGAAGTTATCTTGAGAATTCTTGTGCAACACTTTGTGACTGGTAAAAAAAACTCTACTGCTTTTCTTCTAACCTCTGGCACAGCTTAAAAATTCTGGAAATCCCTCAAGGGACAACATGATCTAGTATCTGACTTAGTTCTCTGTAACTCCATTCTCATCATGATGTCGGCTACCTCAAATCCTTGCTGCTTTGGCAGCCATAACCCGGTTTTTTGTCTCTCTA